TTAATCTCTGATGGATATTTACAGTTGGAGATCTTGATGGTATAGAGCTATTCTTCCAATGTCAAAAAGACATTTGTAGTAAGACATAAGATACAGAATTTTAGCACTCCATTATAACTTAGCATATCAATGTATTAAAGAATGATGTGAAGTGTAAGGATAAAAGAGTATTTATCTAGGAGCCAAATAAGATGAAATGCATATAGCATTCCTTGAAATATTAGAGAAGTTGTGTTATAGAGTAAATACAACAACTAAAGTTATGGTAATTTCAGGTTCAATAAAACTGGTAAGGGAAATAAAGATAGCTGGAAAATATTTCCTCAAATTTACATGTTTTCTATAATAAAAAAAAAGTCTATGTTATCCCTTCATATTACTATATTGCTAAGTAAATAGGCTAACAGCTAAACTGAGAAGGAAATAAGCTAGTATAGATTAGAAAGAAATAAGGTCAATGTTACCTGGGGAAGACACCTTGAAAACATATTGTGTATTGTTTCATAAATACTATCCAAAATTCATTCACTCAGGAAATCTTTCTCAAAGAAGTTACATGTCCTCATACATAGTTACATGCCTGGATCTATGCAAGTCCAGGCATCTGCTTCTGTCAGGTGGTCTGCAGCATTGTCTATAAAAGGCTATGTGTTCAGGGGATATAAGACAAAGCTTGTGATTTTGGGAATTCTGTGATTTTGGGAAATTTTGGTGTTTTCATAGTGCCTAGTACTCTATTTCCATACTGTTTCCTTTTAATCGCTCTTTCGAGAGGTTTTTTTCAGATGAATACTTAATGTGTTCACTTTTATTATCTTGTTTCTTAATCTCCTTACTATCTTACAAAGCCAGGATCTCTAAAAGGGACCTTATTCAATGAGAGGAGGACCTATGGAAATAACTCCACCTCATGGGAAGAAAATTTTTTAAACTACTAAAAGAGTGTTAAGTTATTTTTCAGAGAGATATATTCTATATTGCTCTGGACATTGAAACTGGATAAAAAGGAAGATGTCTGCTGAGAATTCATTTTCTAACTGAGCCTAATGTGGATTTGAGATTAGGATTCACACTCCCTCTGTGGTCTAAACAAAATCAAGTCAAATAATAAGATGTTGAAATGCTGGGTGAATTGGAAGAGGTAGCAAAAGAATTGACAAGGATTTTGTCATAGAAAATTGAGATATAAGATATTGAAAAGATTTATAAAATTGACAATGTTTTGACAAAGTTGATCAAACACACAGAAAGGGCTCAAGTAATATAAGGATGAAAAGAGGTATATAATTACAAATATTGCAGAAATTAAAAAAAATAAAGAATAAAATGAATAAACTCAGAGCAACAAATCTGAAAGCTTGGTCATAATGTCTTTCTACAAATAACTAAGACTGAATCAACAAGAGAAAAAAATAACTAAGACTGAATAAGGAGATGTGTGGTAACATACATCTCTAAATGTGTGAACCTGTATCCCTAAATCATATGCAGTATTATAAAACAATGGCATAGCTAGAAAATAAATATGAATAAAATAAATAGGTATTAAAAATCAATAATACTGCAATTGTTTTTTTTTTTTTTTTAAATATTTATTTATTTATTTATACAATCACTGGGTACAGTCAGAAGCACTGGGAGGGTGAGAGATTCACCAGAGATAGGGTGGGGAACAGAAAAGCAGACCAATGAAATACACTGCTGAGGGGAGCAGTGGGCACACAGGAAAGGTTTGCATGCCATGTGGGACCCTCGGGGAGGCCCCCTGCAATTGTTTTAAAAAGTGAATCATTGCTAAGAATCTTTCTTCAGAGAATAATGTAGGTATAGATAGTTTTATAGAAGAAATAAACTGAAAATCCAAGGAATGTTTAATTTGACAATATACAAAAATTTTCAGATAATAAAAAAGAAAGAAGGATCCCTTAAACTCTTTATTATAGTAGTTATTTTAGTCTCCATTCTAAATTAGTGGAGGAAAGGAAGAAAGAAAATAAACAGACCAAATTAACTAAAAAATAGATGCTATAATTCTAAGAAAAGAAAACAAAGAACACTTTTAAAGATGATAGCATTATGTGCAAGAGATGTGATATAGATTAATATAGCAAAATTTATTAGTGGAATTTGAACATGAACAGATTAAAGAAAAAAAAACAGTAAAACATCCTAGTAGAAGCAAGAGAAAAAATCATAAATGGGCTCATAGACTCTCTAAGAATAGACGAAAACTTCCATAATCTGATGAATCCATGCAGATCTACCACAACTACCATACATCTGTGAAGTATTAGGAACATTTTCTTTAAAATCAGAAACTGGAGGGGATTATGCTAAGCAAAATAATTCAGAAGGAGAAAGACAAATACCAAATGACTTGACTCATGTATGAATATAAAGAAACAAAACAAAAGAGCAGACAAAACCAAACCAAACCAAACTCTAGAAATTTGACTGTAAAATTGAGACTACCAGAGAGGGAGAGTAGAGGTAGGGAGCAAAGTTTTGCGGGGGCTCAGTGAACTATAGTGGAGGATGATGAGTGTTCTTATGGTGGGTTTGGTGTGGTGACATACATCTGTAGAGGTGTGAACCTGTATCCCTAAATCATATACAGTGTTGTAAACCAATGGTATCTCAATTAAAAAAAAATACAAGGTAAAATAAAAATAAAAAAAAAATCAGATACAAAATTTAGATGTCCTATGGCAACTCTCCCATCAAAGATTTTAGGTTTCTTAGCCAGTACAGCTAGAAAAATATATGAATAAAGTAAATTGGTATTAAAAAAGAAGAAACAAAATTGTTACTATTGGCAGCTTATGTGATAGCTTAGAGCAGAAATCAACAAAGAAGGGTTAATAGCCCAAACTAGCTTTCCACCTGTTTTGTAAGGAAGTTTTATTGGAACACACCCATGCTATGCGTACTCATATATGTATTGTCTATGGCTGTGTTCATTCCACGTTGGCACAGCTGAATAATTGCTAGAGACCATATGGCTCTTTAATAAAAAATAAAAATTGCAAGCAGTAGTTGATAGTCTAAAATTATTAGAATTTATGAAGTCATTTAAACAAGTTTGTCAGATATATCAATAAAATTTGATTGCATTACTTTATATTCACAATAAAAATTTAAAACATTTACGTACATATATTTATATACACAGTTATAAAATATTTTAGAAATGGAAATAAAACTAACAGATTTTCAGCAAGTATTGCATTTTGAAGAATATTGTTAAAATTTAAGAAATTTAGGAAGAATTAAATAGATGGCAAGAGGAAGAAAGCACGCTCGTAGGTAGGGAGACTCAGCTTTAGAAAGACCCAGGTCCATGGCCTCCCTGGTGGCGCAGAGGTTAAGTCTCATTGCTTTCTTTCTGTCACCACTATTACCTGAGGTCAACCCCTGCCAGGGATCTAACCCACATATGGCCAGCAGACCTCTCCTGTCTCACCTGCTGCTCCCCTTAGTATATTTCAGTAGATCTGCCTGTTTTTCCCTACTCTGTCTCTGATGAATCCTCTCTCTCTCTCTCTCTCTCTCTCTCTCTCTCTCTCTTCCTTTCTCACACACACACATCCCTCCAACCCGCCCCCCATTACACCTCTGGCCTACACCCCAATTCTTCTATGCATAAATAAATGAATAAATAAATCTTTTTTTTTAAAGAAAGACCCAGGTCTATTTTTTTCTAAATTCAATTTTATTCACATCAAAGCTGCAACTTTCTCATTAAATGAATATATATTTTAAAACTATTTACAAAAAAGAAAAGGATTACAATATTTAATATTCTTCTGTTGAAGAAGGAGATATTTTCCTGTCAGATGACACATTGCGAAGAAATAATACTTAAATCAGGATACTAATGAGACAGAGATAGGAATATTAGACCAATATTGCAGAGCTAAAACTGAATCTTTCTCTCTATGAGATGCTATCTTCTATTTAATTTTCCTAAAATTCCTTAAATTTTAATAATATTCTTCAAAACATAATATTTGCTGAAATTCTGTTAGCTTTATTTCCATTTCTAAAATATTTTGTGACTATGTGTATTTAAATATGTGTACATAAATGTCTAAGGTTTTTTATATGTGTCACATAGATAAATATAAATATGGAAACTTGGCTATATCAAATGTAGCACTGAAGTTTAGTGAATATTATTTAGGAATATTATTTAGGAACTGGTACAAAGGCATTATTTATTCCTAAGCATATAGAAACGATTTCAGGAAAATTAAAAAAAATGTCTAAGACAATATCTGAAATAATCTAAGAAAAACTTGAACTAATCTTTATAAAGCTAAGGTAGGAAAAATTATAATGTATAAAATGTGTAAGGAAAAGTTGTTGTATCTGAGTGCATTTAAATTGACATCTGTATGTCAATGTGTGCCTTAAAACAGTGAAAGTCCAAATCATGACCATACACAAGTTATTTCTCATAATTAGTAGAGATGTACTCCAAAATAATAAAAAGTCAAAAAGAATTCTATATAACCTCAACAAAGAAACTAAACCTCAACAAAGAAACTAAATAAATGTTTGAAAAGTGTGTTCAACATATTCTCATCTAATGCAAATAAAATTACAATCTGGATAATTTTACATGTATCAGACCAACAAAAATTAAAATATTTAAAATTGTAGGTCATAAACTGTTATTCCTTGTTGCTCTGAGTGTCAATTTCACACAAATATTGTAATCCAGTAGTTTCATGCCTGAATATACACCCAAGTGACACTCCCAAGTGCACTGGGAAACAGGCATAATAATGTTTAAAGTAGCCATGTGTCTAACAACAAATTCTAGAGTGAAGATAATTGAATGATCCAGCCATCAAAATAAATGTCCAAAGCAGAAATCTCAGTTGATAAAGCAAGTCACACAGCAGTATATGCGGTATGTTTCCATGGATAAAATATCTAAAAACATATAAGATTAAATATAATCTTATTTAGGAATACATATGTGTTTGTAATTGTTCTGATCGAGATATATATGTTTCACTATATATTAGTAATGATAATGATAATGTTCTCATTCTTACATTCTTACCAGGAGTGACAAAAAGCTGCTTGTTAACCTGTCATTTATTATATTCTGTACATACAGCTTAGCCATACTCTTTGATGTTATTTTTTTACAATATAGAGTTTTTACAATATAGAGTTATAAAATATTCTCCAATAAACAAGACAAATGGTAAATAAAGAACATGTTCCTACAAAAGGTTAAAGTTAAAGGGTTGATCCTCAAATGAATAAAGATTCGTTCCTAACATCACATTGCAACAACCAGAGATTCATTTACCACTCCAGCACTAACTCTTCTCCACCCCACCCCCCACCTAGGTGATCACTAACAATTTTTTGATAGCTAGAAGCTTTGATGTGGCATTCAACTTCTAGATTTTACATAGGGTAGGCTAAAAAAGAAGAAAAACAAATACCACAACATACTATTTGTAATTCTTTGTTTTTCAGAGTCACATTGGAAAATGTGCTGTATCCATTAACCTTTCTGCAAAGAGCAGAAGGTAAGCTAGTTAACATTTGACAGCTTTGCAGAGTCTATTGACTTGTAATGAAAAATACACTGCTACCTCTATTTTCTGTATACCTGTCAGTTGCAGCATTTGTTACAAGAAGAACCATTACTATCACTGTTTTAACTTCCCCTTTCCCTCCTCTGCTGTTTTTAGTAGAAATTGAGGAAAATTTTGACCTATTACCATATGCATTTTAATTTTCTCACTCAGTAATTTTATATTGACCACTTGCTTATTAATGGTTTATTATGTGAATAATAAACAAACTTGCAGTTCTTATAAATCGTGTTTGACTGTAAAATAGTCCAGAGTTAACTATATTGCCTTTAAATGCTAAGCAAGAAAATGCTAATGGGAATAACACATTTCTGTCTGGCCTTGGGAATTATCTAGCATGTTTCCATAATTACAAAATGATTAAAAATGATGATGGTATCATGGAATATTTGTGCAATGGACAACAAAGTTACAGGTGTTGCAATAACAATATAGTGGCAAAGTCCCAAAAGGAAAAAGGTGAGAATGGTTTCCAGTTCAGAGTATAATCAATCAGTATATGGATGTCCTGTGTGACATATAATTAATAGCGTGGGATTTAACTGAGTAATTGGATATTACATAACCCCTCACCATTTACTAATAGATAGATAATTAAAGAATCCCAGAGCTCATTGTCAATCCTATACAAATGAGACAGTAGAATATATAAACTTTTCCCAACTTCTTTTTAAGTTGGCCATATATGTCTGTATAATTCTTAGCACATTTATGAGGTGGGATGGACGACTTTAACTTCAGGTAACAGCCCATATAAATTGTTTATATTGAGTCCACATTAATTTAAACATAAATATATTGGATATGCTATCTCTATGACATATATATGTGTGTGTGTTGCTGTCACATAACATATCCTCATGTGAGTTGCAAAGATTAATTCCATAACTTAACAATGATGTTAAGGATGTGAGGATCCAGGCTTTCCCTAACTTTCACCCTGTCATCTATAGACTCTTAACATTTGTTTACAGACTTGTCCCTATTATGGTCTCAGATAATAATTTTCCAACAACTGAAAGGCAGAAAAAGTAGATTGATTCCTTTATTATTTCATATTTCCAGGTTTACTGAGATAAAAATGATATGAAACATTGTATAAGTTTAAGCTATACATTGTAATAATTTCATATATGTATATATTGTGAAATGATTACCACAATAAGGTTAGTTAACACATTCATGGCCTCACATAGTCACAGTATTTGTGTGTGTGGTGAGACCATTTAAGATCTTCTCTTTTGCAACTTTCACATACACAAAACTGTATTGCTAACTATTGTCACAATACTGTGCATAAAAACTTATTCATCTTATAACATTTGTACCCTTTGAACATCTCTACTTATTTGTCTCCCCGTTCCTTGGCAACCACCAATCTTCTACTTCTCTAACTTTCATGAGATACTTCTGTTAATTCTTTGGGGACCCCTAAGGTATCACACATAGAGCAATTCCTATACTTTCTTAGCTAATCTATTGCAAGACTCTTAACTGCTGCTCCTGGAAAGTCTTTGGGAATCCCTTGACCCCTGCAAGCATCCCTAAGTAAGATCCTCTAGATATAGCTTGTCCCATCTTGCACATCATCTACTTGTGTCCTGAAAAATGAGCACATCTCCAAATAATCTATAAACTAAACATTCGTCTTAATAAAAGATACTAGAAGAAAAAGATAATTTATTTTACTAAATACTTTCAGGTTTTGAAACGTATCATCAAAAACTTATAATGAATTTCCTCTTATGAATCATTAAGAAAATAATAGAGTAGTCAAATATGTAAAAATGATTTGATTTTTATCTGGATTTAAGTGAAGTCATTGTGCTTTCCATTTTGATCACAGACACACTTGATTGCAATCTTAAAAGCCATCTGCCCAACAAGATGCTGAGTTTGCACAAATGGTGAGTGTGTGCCAGAGTTAGAAATCAAACATTTTCTGAGCACAGCCCCAGACCCATCCCAGGACACAGAAGGTCCCAACTCTCCATCTGTGTGGGGAAAGAAATGAAACAACTGAATTAATTACTTTAGAATCACCCTACTATAGGTATATAAAGATTGGTTAAATCTACGCCTTGAGTAATGGAAATAACAGTGGTGTGGAAATAAGTGTTTTATCAATAAGATCTTTATAGAGAGCCCTTTGAATCAAATTTCTGTTCTTGATGGCTATAAATAAATAATATGAAACCAGGTGGCAAGTATATTTCTTTAAAATCAAAATTAAATGTAAACATTTACTAGTTTTAAGAATATACTCATTTTAGTGTGTTTGTAGTCAATATATCCTCTCATAATGGAACTATACTTTTTGATGCATATTTCAAATAAAGCAAAAAATGTAGGAATGCCTACCTTCTAAGATTGTTGAGTGGGAGACTGTCAGGGGAGAAAAACAGTGGTGGTGATGATGGAAACACACCTTGAAGGGAGGGAGACTGCATCAAGCTCTAGTCTCATATGTTTCACATTGGGGCACAGTGTGCTAGCGTCAGGCTGCTCACCACACCACAGCGGGAAGCATGAATCTGAGCACCACTGAAGGGGGATTTTTTCCAGTATCTCACAATTACTAGAACATCTGCACCACAAAATGCCCCACATTCAAAAAGCAGTATCAAAATATGTTCTTAATTTTCAGGTTCACAGTTGTCAACTTGATACAAATTACACTGTAAGACAAATAATATAAATATTAAAATAATTGAAAAGATTATAAGGTATGATTGAAGAGTCATAAAATGAATGAATGAATTCATTCAGTTTTATACAAGTTTTGTCTTCTTTTGCTGATTCCACTAGAAATGGAAAATACAATAACAGAACTGATATTTAAAACTATCACATGTGCAAAAAACATTTAAGCATACAGAATTGTGTTAGAAATACAAATAAAAGCTACTTGAAAGAAGAGAGTTACTTAAAACAGATCATTATAAAAAAGCAATAAGATATTGGCCATTTAAAATTTGTCTCTACTGGTTTTAAGTTATATTTCACTAATGCAAATAATAGGGATCATTTTCTTGGCATAAAATGAAGCTGGTAAAATTGAAAACCTTACCTGGGAACATATTGCTTCTACAAAAAAGATTAAGGAGGTGTCTTCCATGCTGAAAGAGATCACATCATTAAGAATATATTTGTCCTATATTACCTCTGTTTGTGGTTCTTCATTTCAAATTTATCACATATAGAGAATGTCACATAGAAGGCAGAGATGGAAGAGTCCTTTCTGGGTTTCATTATATTTTATCTGAAAGGTCTATCTTTGAATGATCTCAGTCGGAAAGAGTACCACTTCTTGTGAGGCAATCACCTTTGAGTATCCCCATGGACTTTGATTTTGATTTTGGACTTTGATTTTGGTTTTAAAGATTATGTGCATATTACAAATAGAATATAAAATTTACTTAGGTAAATTTTGTGTGTTTGGTTCATTTGAGAAACATTTTTGAGCATATGACAAATATTGTAGGAGCATAAGAATGAATAAAATACGCGACTGGTGATCTAGTTAAGGAGAAAGTTAAGAAACTAGTAATCATGACTGTATCAGGAACTATGGGAAAGAGTGGTGTTTCTAAAACATAAATTTAGTCATACTGTAAATCTGGTGGGAAAGTCCACACAGATAGTAAGTGAATTTGCTCAAGGGTTTGATATTTCACAGAGGCAATTGCACTGTGAATTGCATTATAGACTTCCTAGGAGGAAAGTATTTTAGAAAAAAAAAAATGGTGTTTAATTCTTCTTGATGTGATTATAAATAGGATTATTCTATTGATTTATTTCTCTTTCTAGTTGTTTGCATTTGGAAAACATATTTTTGCATATTGATTTTGTAGCCTGCCACTTCACTGATTTATTGGTTCTAATATATTTTTAGTAGAGTCTTTAGGGTTTTTTTTAATGCATATTATCATGCATTTTGCAAATGGTAATAGATTTATTTCTTCTTTTCCAATCTGGATTCCTTTTATATTTTCCTTCTGCCTAATCACTCCAGTTAAGGCTTCCTATACTATGTTGAATGACAGTGTAAAAACAGACATCCTTGTTTTATACCTGGTCATAGGGAAAAGCTTTCAGCTTTTCACCATTGAATATGTCAGGTGTGTGTGAGTTTGCCATATACGACCTTCATTATATTTACGTATTCTCTGTCTATCCCCATTATTTGTAGTTTAAGGCAGGTGGAAGACCAGTACAATGAAAACTATAAAACATTATTAAAATGCAAATCAAAACCAGAAAGAGATATCACTTCAGCTCTGAGGTTGACCCACATCACAAAGACCAGAGAAAAAAAGATGTTGGTGAGGATGTAGAGCAAAAGGAACCATTTTACATTATTGGTGGGAATGTAGACTGGTCTAGCCCCTGTGGAAAATAACATAGAGTATTCTCAAAATATTGAGATTCAGTCTATAATATACACCAACAATTCCACTGCTAGGCATCCAACTGAAGAAGCAAAGGCCCTAATTCAAAGGGATATATGCACACAGGCATAAATTAGTATTTGCAAAACATGGCATGTGTAATGCCTGAAAGTTTGAAACAACCTAAGTATCTAACACCAGATAAGTGAATCCAAAAGCTGTGGTACATGCACACAATGGAATACTATCCAGCTACAAAAAAGGATGAAATCCTGCCATTTGCAACAACATGGATGGACCTGAGGAGATTATGCCAAGTTATACTAATCAGAAGGAGAAAGACAAAACTGGATGATTTCACTCATATGTGGAACATAAAGTAACAAAATAGAAAAGCTAAGCCAAAACAAGCCCTAGAATTCTAGTGTAGAATTGAGTCTACCAGAAGGTAAGTATGAGGGGTGGGTCCCCAGGGGGAAGGGAACACAATGGTGGAAGAGTATGGGAGCTTTGGTGGTGGGTTGGTATAGTAACACACATTTGAAGAGTTGTAACCCCATAACGTCATTTATGGAGGGTGTTGTAGACAACATTACTAAAGTAAATAATGATACAATTAATACAAAAAATAATCACCAGTTAAAGTACTATATCCTGACAATTTTGGCAGATCTACAGAAAAGGTAGAACTTCAGCATTTGCTGATTATAGGGTTTGCATTTTATCCTGAATCCACTGAAGAGTTTTTAACTGTGACAAAATTAAATTTGTTGGTAAGAGGGTAATATCACTCCTGTAGTAACTATGAAAAATTTGAGGGCAATCAAACTAAGTTAGTGAATGCCTAGTTGCAAGTAACAGAAAATTAGACATGAGCTCATTTACAGCTTAAAGATGATTAATTGGGCCTTAAGCAGTGTTGAAGTGGACTCTGTGTGGGTTTGGTCAGGGATTAGATATAATTTCTCTCTCTTTTTTTTAAAGATTTATTTATTTATGTATATAAGAACTGGGGTACAGGCCAGAGGTGTGGGGGGTGAGAGGATTCACGAGAGACAGAGTGGGGAACAGAACAGGCAGATTTACTGAAATACACTGCTGAGGGGAGCAGTGGGTGAGACAGGAGAGGTCTGCTGCACCTTGAGAGTAACCTCCCTGGACAGGCATCAAACTCATGCTGCATGGCTGCAGATAGCTTCGTAGTGCTGACACTTAACCCCCTGCAACACCAGGGAGGCCCTAGACATCATTTTTCTCTGAGTCCTCCATGGTCTCCTCAATGAGCTCTCATTTTGGCTCCTTTCAGGGTAAAAAAGAGAGCTTTCATTGGACTGTGATTACATACATACTCTTTCAAATCTGAGAAGTGTTTTTTCCTCAAATAACTAAACATTGATTTTGAATTTTTATTTTATTCACCCAATTTGAACTCTACAGTGTGAGGGATGATGAGAGCATGCATATTATTCGATCAATATGAACTATGTCTAGAACTTGTAGTCATATTGATCCAAACCATATTGGGGGATAGCTAAAAAACTGGGGAGACTTAGTTTCCAAAAGTAAAGTATAAATTCTATGTTTTTTGAAAAAAGAGAAGGGAATGAAAAATGACTACCAGGTAGGCAACCAGTACATGTACATAAAAGAAAAACTCTCATTGACGTCCAGGCAAGAAATGACAAGCACTTGAATTTATATATTAAAAGTAGAAATAGCTAGCAGTGGGAAGTTTTGATAAAGTGTCAACTGATTGAATTTGACAGGTGTGGAAAAGGGAGAGATGAAGAACGACTTCAAGTTTTGTGGTTTGGGTAAATGGAAACTTGATAGTGGCATAACCAAGACAGAAAATATAAGAAAGGTAAGTTGGAAAAAAGCAGGAAAGAGTAAGTTTATGAATTGTTTGGAATATGTCGCGTTTAATGTACTGTTAGTCTAAATTGACATGCTTAATAAATAATTAGATAGGTAGGAATTTCTGCATACAATTCCTGAGATGACAGGCATAGATAATAGCAGAGATTAAAGGTAATTTCAGCAGATAGTGAGTGAGAATAGCAGGACAACATTTGTAGAATGAAAGAGAAAAGGACCCTGACAATGTTAACATTAAGAGGTTAAATAAGATTTTAAAAAGTGGCACTGCAGATGAGAAAGGAGGATGTTTAAAGAAGAACCAGGGCTATGGTGGAAGATTATGGGTGCCTTAGTGATGAGTGTGGTATGGTAAACATACATTTAAAGAGATCTGAACTTATACTTCTGAGTCATATATAGCATTGTAAAAGAATGTTATCTTAGTAAAAAATTACAAAAATTACACAAAAAGTGAAGAACTAGGGGCCTCCTTGGTGGCGCAAGGGGTTAAGACTCAACCTATGAAGCTATCTGCAGCAGCTGCAGCACAAGTTTGATCCCTGGCCAGGGAGCAAACCACATGTTGCAGCCGACCTCTCATGACTCACCCGCTGTTTCCCTCAGCAGTGTATTTCAGTTGATCTGCCTGTTCTGTTCCCCACTTCCTCTCTGGTGAATCCTCTCCCCCCCACACACACTTCTGGCCTACACCTTGTTCTTGTATGCATAAATAAATAAATCTTTTAAAAAAAAGTGAAGAACTAGGAGAGTGTACAGAATTTTAATGCAATGGGTAAGAATGTCAAGTAGGGGGGAGTGATCACTTACATACTATGTAATTTTTAATAAGAAGAATTATTAAGTATATGTTTAGGGTAGAAGTGATGTGAGACCTAATTTTAACAAATAAGGAGACATTCAACATTTGGAAGAAAATTTTTCTGGGCAGATAGAATAGCTTACAAAGTGAGTTGGAGTGGGTAAATAATGGCAAGAAGGCCAATAAGACTGGAACATGACTAGAGAAACTTCTTTAAAATAGACACAGATCAGAGCAACAAGAGATTTACAAGCCATGAGAATTTTCTTGTAGAAAAGAGTAAATTGATGCAACTGCAAAATTTTGAGTAGACTAAAAGGAGATGCTGGCCAAAAGTGGGGGGTTTGGCATAGTTGGTGATTTAGTTCTTGGTGGTAATCACTTACTTATGGATGAAAGAAACCAACACATGGTCATATATAAGTTGGTAGATTTGCTAATGGAAAGATGATTACATTATCTTCTAAGAACTGTTTTTATCAGGGAAGCAAGAATTAAGTCATTAGTTGAGGATAAGAAATTTATTTGGAATACAGTGAGTTAACTTATCAGTTGGAAATAATGACATTGAAGATTCTACAGAAGCCTAGAACTGGATCGAAGTTTTGTTAGAGATGTACATGGGTAAGAGGCCAAGATCAGGTTAAGCAGTATGATTGAATGAAACAATTAAACTACTGTAATATAGATAGCATCACGATTCAGTTTGTTCCTGTGATAATTAACATTGCTCTCTCTTTTTGTTTTCCCTGTATCTCTTTCCCTTTTTTCCTTCTTTGAATCATCTACTCTAGTAGAACATTAGCAGAAAAACATACGAGATTTTATGAAGATGAAATTATTTTACTTTCATAAGAAATTTCTAGATAAATATTTGGAGAGATGACTCCCAGAGAATATTGTACTCTAGACTTATTTGTGGATCCAATTTATCTACATTAAATTTCTTTTCTTTAAAAATAGGTAATCATAAAAAAATGTATCCCTATCTAGTTATAGATTTTCAAAGAGGAAAGGAAACCATGATAGAGACTCCCTGTGATTAAATCATCCGATTGTGAAAAGTCTAGGTGTCCTTTATTGTAAGCATGCCTTTGTTCACTACACAATGCCTTCTTGATTAACAACCCGGGGAAATTATAGCTTTAGCAATTGCTCATGTAGATTCTTTAGGTTTATGACACAGCAATTTGGTTCTTCATATACTTTACTTTTGAAGATGTGACATTTAGTTCATTGGGAAAAAAAGTTAAATCTAAAACTTCTGGTGAAAGATAAAAATGGCATTATCCCCAGTCTCAGTAGAACACAAGCTGATTGCTGCTTGGTATTCCAAAACACACCTGCATGCCCTGCACAATGACTGGGAAAAATTGATGAGACCCTTTTTTTTTTAAGATTTTATTTAATTATTTTCATGTACAACTGGGGTACCCGGCAGAGGTGCAGGGGGGAGGTGAGAGGATTCACCAGAGTGAGGGAATGCAGAACAGACAGATCTTCTGAAATACGCTTCTAAGGGGAGCAGCAGGCAAGATAGGAGAGGTATGTTGTGCCATGTGGCTCCCTGCCCTGGGATGTAACTCAGGCCATAGTGGTGGTAGCTCTGAGACTTAATCCCTAGTCCATCAGGAGGCCCTGATAATACATTTGTACATATGCAATTCTTAAATCCTAAGTGTCGTGGTATATATTGTTGTATATCCAAGTTTTTTAATGGATGCAAATTTGATGGGAAGGCATTTACCATTGTTATTTGGTACCAGTTTGGCATGAGTAGGACTATTAACATTAGTGAACATTCAGGTCCTCCCTGACCTGAGCAAGAATAATGCTCTCATCTTTCTGCTGAAGGATTTTTTTTTGTTTTAATGAGGGGGCAGAAACATGAATAACTGCTCACAAAAAAAAAAAAAATCTGTTTTCCATTTCATGTTAGAATGATCAAAATGCCTATAGCCTAGCACAGTTTCTGTAAAATTTTCACATGTGAAGAAAAAGTATCTACCTCCTTGCAGTCCAGTGTTTTGTTTTTTCTTTAATCTTGATTTTTTTCCTTCTTGGTCTTCTAATGATTCAGTGGTATGTTGTTTTTCAGAGTCTATTCTGCTGATAAATTATTGTTGTGTTTGAATCTTTGAATTTGTTCCTACCTGCACTATTGGGCAGCCCAGAGTGGACACATCCAGATTTTAGTGCCTAAGAAAAACGATTCTTTGGTGAAGGTGTGTTTTGGAAGACTTGAGCAGCAATCAGCTTGTGCTCTACTGAGACTGGTTTTAATACCATTTTCCTTATCTTTCACCAGAGGTTTTAGATTTAAATTTGTTTTCTCCCTTGAGCTAAATGTCACATCTTCAAAAGTGAAGTATATGAAGAGCCAAATTGCTGTGTCATAGACCTACAGAATCTATAGGAGCATTTCAAATCCAAGTGTTTTGGTGAGGATTTATTTCTTTGCTGCTGAATGGTTTTCTCCTTATTTGAAGGTTTTTAGAAAAAAGAGAGTAGGTAAAACTAATTATATCTGCATTTATGTCCATCTTCCTCAAAAAAAAAAAAAAAAGGAAAAAAAGATAGTTGTATGATCATCCCAGGGGAGAACCCTTAACACTTGTGCCTTTTGTATTTTGCTTGGCATTAGAGTCATCAAGGAAAACCCACTCAGTCAAGTGTTTGATAGCATAACACTTTATTTACATAAGAAAAGAGATAGCAAGATCAGCTTCAGGCTGTGGTGGAAAGACCTTGTTCCTTCCCTGAGGAAGACAGTTATAACAGTGGAGTTGGCCAGGTGCCATATGATGTGCACTCTTCAAGCAGAGATAAAAGAGTACTCCTTGAGCATGAAACAACGAAAGATTTTCCCACAGAATGTGGTAAGTCTGGCACAGATTTTGTGGACTCTTTCTGTTTTGGGAAAGAAATGCCCCAGGCCCAAGGCCCCTTCCTAATACACTCCTTCCTAACAGGAGTGGGGGTAGGAATAGAGGGGGTGGTTAAAGGCTGCATGCTAACCCTACAAATGTTGCCTATTCAGGCTGACTTCTTGACTGCAAACTGATCAGAGACCCTGAGCAGGAACTACTTATTTAAGATACTGCTGGATTTCTGACCCACTATAACTGTGTGATAGAATACATGTTTATTGATATATTAAGTCATTAAATGCTGAGGTGTTTTGTTATTCAGTGATAGATACTATAAAAATTGATGGATTAGTGGTTGAAAAAGATTATACTGAAACAAGGGGATTCAAAATTCAATGGGTAACTATCACTTTCTAAGAACTGTGAAAAATTCTGTGTCAGGTGCTAAGGTGAAGAGGATTCTCATGTCAGGAAGAATAAGAATTTTGTTCTATAAATCTGAAACAATAGCCAATGTAGGCAATTTCTTATAACTGGTTGAATGATTACGTGGTTATGATCTGTGATGCAGAACAAGGGACCTATAATCCTTCATTCATGTGTTAGCACCAACAAAGTTTATTTCTTCAGAGGAATATCTTAGTTCACTGGATAAGGCACATTGACTTCATCCTTATTAGGATGAGGAATGATTTGCTGGTTTTTTGTTTTGTTTTGTTTTGTTTTTTTAATGTGTGTGTCCCATGGGATACCTTAGATTAAAAAAAAAAAGTGATAATTTTCACATATTACACAACTGGTGGTATTAATATTTAAGCTCTACAAATAACATATTTAACATCATCAACAACTTATTTAATAAATGGGTAGCAGATTAAATAGACAATTCTCCAAAGAAAATATGCAAAAAAGCCAGGAGATATGTGGCAAAATATATCTCTTTTTAATAATGAATGTATCATTTTTAATAAAGAAGATGCAAGTCAAAACCATAGTGAGTGAGATATTATTTCACAACTTTGAGAATGGAACAAATTAAAAAGACCACTCACAACAACTACTGGAGAGCATGTAGAGAAAGAGGACCGTTAATACACTGTTGTTGGGAATAGAGACTGGTGCAGTTATTTTGAAAGGTGATTCAGACCTACCTTCAAAAACTAAACGGGGATTCGGCAATCCTACTTTTGTGAATGTATCTGAAAAATATGAAGTTATCAATTAAAACAAATCTGTATTTTCCACAATGTTTATTGAATCATTATTTATAATAGTTAGGGCATGGACGCACCCCACTTGCTCACTGACATGGGATGAATTGAGAAGTTATAGTATCCACTCAATGTAATACTCTTCAACTATAAGGAAGATAAAATGTCACTATTTACAGAATAATGGAAGAGAATATGTATAGTAGAACAATTCAGTAAAATAAAGACAAATACTGGACATTTCTGTACATTTATATGAGAAAATCAGGGAATCATAATAGGAGGTATTGACAAAGCAACATAATCATAAACTAGCAGACACTCATAAGTGAAACAATATTTCTGAGGTTAAGAGGGAGGGAGAGGTAGAAAGAGGTAGAAAGAGTCAGAGATACAAGGGGATGGTGGAAGAGGGGAAATCAATAAAACAAAAAAATAGATCTTTGAGAAAGTCAATAAAATTGATAACATCTGGGCCTTCCCTGGTGGCCGAGGTGGTTGTCCACAGCCTCTGCAGCGCTGGTTCGATCCTGGCTGGTGGTGAGTGTCCCACATGGCGCTGCAGACCTCTCCTGCCGCCCGCTGCTCCCCTCAGCAGTGTACTTCGTCATTCTGCCTGCTCTGCTCTCCCCTCTGACTCTGGTGAATTCTCTCACCCTCCCGCACTTCTGACTGTACCCAGTGCTTGTATAAATAAATAAATAAAATCTTTTAAAAAAAATAAAATAAATACATTTCTCTAAATGGCAAATGACTTAGTAGCTAATGCAAAATTTTTATCTCATTAATATTTTAAACTATATTTTAATGTCATTGTACACTGATAGCATTTTTTGTTAAGTTTAAAAAATAACTATAAAATTATGAATTGCACATTTGTATTTGAATGGAGCCACTTGAATTTCTTTGGAATGGCTTACAGTTGTGAATAAACATGTTAAGTGAGTAAGTCTGAAGTCTGATTTGCCCAGTGAGAAGGGCCTTTTAACAGCTATTCAGTGATAATTACGTTCAAAACAAAACATGAATAGAACATGGGCTTTATTATAATAATTTAGTATGTATCAGAATGAAAAATAGAATCACATTATACATAGAAATCTATAATAATAATTCAATGATTATAGCATACTGATTTATAAATATATCAGGAAGTTCAAATTGAATTATTTGCTACAATGAAAATCAGATATGATTTTCATTAAAAAAAATATATGCTTTATCCTTCTGTGAATTTTTGTTGTTTTTTTTTTTTTAGGTACTATAAAATATTTATTTGATGATTTAAATTTGTTTGACATGTCACAAAGAGAATATAGTATAAGTGCTTTCAAAATCATGTTTAACACACTGACCTGGTTACTATGTGCTTGAGAATAGTTCAACTATCAATAAGATATTTTTAAAAATTGAAAGTGATACATATGATCCAAGGATTAGAGCATTTTAATCTTCCTTTGGCTATAAATGGAAGAGCAAATGTGAATTCTTGAAGTATTAGAATAGGATCTATTATCATTTAAATAGGTAATATGATATATTTTATTAAAAAATTGATTCTACATTAAAAAAGCATTTTTAGTCCAAGTCCTTTATATTAGAATCAGATATTTTCTGATAAACTCAATCAGGGCTACTTTGAAAGCAAATTGCCCACTGTTCATCCTAAAATATTTGTTTTAATAACCAAGCTCATCATTTTTAAACAGTTTCCACACTTTCTCCTTTGAACTCATTTACTTCTGTTAATATTAATTTTCTTTTAGAAACTGAGTCTCAAAATACAGAGATCTTCTCATGTTTTTTTTTCTTTTTCTTTTTTCTTCTTCATTCTTTGTCCTTTGTCGGTGACAACATCACTGAACTTGCTGTTTCACTCATTTGGGGTCACTCACATTTGGACAATTGTATCAGTCATGCTGCATCAGGCCACAGCTGACCATATTACTTTCCTGCTTAAAACCATTTATATAATTTGTCCAGTATCAAATGAGAGAGTGCCCAAAATTCTCACTGGGATTAAGGCTATTTACCATATACCTAGAAATTATCAAAATATCAAGATCCTTGGGCCTCCGGATGGCACAGCGGTTTGAGCACTGTGCTGTGAAGCTGTCCGCAGCCTCTGCAGTGCTGGTTTGATTCCCAGCCGGCCAGGCAGAATCCCACACGGTGCAGCAGACCTCTCCTGCCGTGCCTGCTGCTCCCCTCTTCAGTCACTCTGCCTTTTCTGATTCCCGCTCTGTCTCTGGTGAATTCTCTCACCCTCCCATGCTTCTGACTGTACCCCAGGTATTGTATAAATAAATAAATCTTTAAAAAAAATCAAGATCCTTAACTAATGAAAAAAATTTCACTGACAAAATAATCTGTATCTCCTTGCACCCCACCTGCTCTCAGAAGGGCCAGCTTGAAGTGGTCAGTGTCTTTTTTCTTAGAAAGTTTGTGAATATCATAGTAATTTCTTAATATGACTGTATTCTCAGTGATTGAATGTTGTGAATCCCAAAAGATAATTAGAATAAGACTGTGGAAAAAGAAAAAAATATTGAATGGTAGGAGGAATATATGGGAGCCAAATAAGGGACTAATGAAAAAAAAAAATAACAAGAATACTAACAACAACAACAACATAACAAACTTAGCAGGCAACCATAAATCAGAGACATTCTGTGAGGGATGGGGAGGAAAAGGGATCAAAACAAGGGTGAGAAGCGCACAAGGGACTATAGTGATATTTCACGGGTGAACTGATGGTGGGAATTTTATGGGGACTACACAATAATGTGAAAGATATAAATAAAAAATTAAAAAAGAAAATAAGTCTGTTTTGCTGCTACCTAACCCAAACTGTCAAGTTTCCAGCTTCAGGAAAGAACCTCACAGTTCTCTTCCTTAGCTCAACCAGCTTAGCTCATTCCATATTACAAATCTTTCTAAATAAAATCTTTAAGATAATGTTAGTCATAAATATTTATCAGTGTCCATTAACTTTTCAGACACTGTCCTTAGCACACACATAAATTATTTTATTTATTCCTCTTTGAGTGAATGTGAATTATTGTCTTTAAAGAAATCATAGTTTAGAAACTTCAAGTAAAATGTCCATGAACACAACTATAGAAAGTGACAGAGCCAAATAGGAACCAGTGTGTAAAGTTACAAAGCACTTCTCCTCCTTGTTATTCTTTATACATATTTCTATCTTATAATTAACTTTATTCCAAAATATATCAGGGAATATGTTGGAAAATACATTAACAGTATGAGTACAACAGAGCTCTACCACTAACTAAAACTCTGACTAATGATTTGGTACCATCTGTCCCTCCAGAAAAGCTTATCCACAAGTTACATTTTATTGAAGACTATAAGATGACAAAGAATAGGAGTGCTCTAATGATGGTGGTTTCTCACTTTCTCTACTCTTTCATGCTTCCTCTGCTTACATGAACTTTGGTGTGGCTGTGCATTTTCCATTTAGAGGTTAAGAATGCTCAAACACAGTTTTGCAATTAAGACTGTTTTCCATTCATGATGACAAAAGAAGGTGCTTTAGTTGTGAAATGGATATACAAATTCTTCTCAAACACCCATAAGAAAAATAACGAGAATCTTACTTAGTGTTGGATAATTGCACTGGCTTCATCAGATCTTTAAATCCATTTCCTTTTTATCTTTTCCATGGCCACCAGCATAAGTTTTTTTTTTTTTTTAAGATTTATTTATTTATTTATACAAGCACTGGGTACAGTCAGAAGCACTGGAGGGTGAGAGAATTCACCAGAGCCAGAGTGGGGAACAGAACAGGCAGACTGATGAAATGCACTGCTGAGGGGAACAGCGGGCCAGACAGGAGAGGTCTGTTGAGCCATGTGGGACCCTCACTGGTAGCTGGGCATCGAACCGGTGCTGCGGAGGCTGTGAGCAGCTTCGCAGCCCAGCACTCAACCACTGTACCACCAGGGGAGGCCCCCACCAACATAAGTTTTAATTCTTGTTGACTGTTTGCTAAATTATTTCAATACTTCTCAATTCACCTTTCATCTTTAGTCTACCTTCAGTAACTCTCATGCATGACACCTGCCAAAATTTTTAAACTGATAATCACGTCACCCCTCTCCCCAAACTTGCATGAGTTCTTATTTTCCCTCCAGAAAGTTAAAAGATATTAAAATTTATTCCTTATCCAGATTGACCAAGAAAAAAAAATGCATAGGCATGCCCACTCTTATGTTTGTACATATATTTAATATAAAGAAATCAATGAATAAGGGAATAAAGTGCCACATATTAGAACATCAAATATAAAGTGCAAGTGGTAGTTAATTGTCCTATTACATTTTTCAAATAGTTATGACAAATTTGAGGAACTCAATCCAGATTTCCCTACTGGAATATATTTAAAATTTTTATGGATTTTCTTGTCATTATATATACACTATTGTAATTTGCATTGGAAGATTCATATACCATGAGTGAGCACACTTGTGGAGGTTTTAACTATGTTCACAAATCTTGGATAATAATTAATTCCAAAAGTGGCACCTCATTCCCTTTCCCTTAAGAATGCATTGGACTTTGTGGTTTGTGTCTATTCTACTGAGTCAAATTTGGTGAAAGTGACAGTGGATGACATTGAAGAAAAGGACATAAAAGGCATTACTCTCTTTCTAGGAGCACTTACTTGTGGGGAAGCGGGTGACCATGTCATAGGACACAGAAGCAGTTGTATGGACAGGACCATGAGGTACAAAGGGATGTCTCCAGGCAGAAGCTGTGAGAAACAGAGATCACCTCACAATATCTACATGTGTGAACATGACTGCAGCTCTTTAGGTCCTTGTCATGTCTTCAGATGACTGCAACCCCAGCTGGAGCCGTCACCTCATCTTCATGAGAGTTTCTAAATGAAAACCATCTTGCTAAACAGTTCTTCTTTATACAGCCAATGGAAATAATGAGAAAAGAGAATTATTGTTTGAAGCCATTACACTTTGGAATGATTTATTATATGGCAATAGATAACTAATACAACACTGGAGGCAGCTTTTATTTGGACATTAGCGTGTAGGGGGATATAAGGTATATGATAAGAAATAACAGATCTTGTATCCTTTCTCATTATTTTTACTTAGAGAAATTAATAATCATTTTGTCAAGAATATAACAACAATCCATGGTGTATTGGAGTTGTAAAATTAGAAAATATAGCTCAGACTTATATCACCAATGCTACCATTCTTACCAAATAATAATAAAAATAAAATATTTTCGAATAATACTCTTATGTTTTCTGACTTTTATAATTCTGTTAAATAACATATCCCTTTTCTTTGGGACTCAAAACATATCTCTGTCATGAGTATTTCCCATATAATCCTTTCTTTTCTTTTTGTTTTTCGTGTGAAAGGAATATTTTATTTTATTTTTATTTATTTCTGTTTTCTTTTTTAATTTTTAAAAATTTATTTATATATATTTTACATCATTATTCATTTTTAAACAATGTGCTTTTTTTTCCCACTCAGGTGTAGTCCCCATAGAATTTCCTCCACTAATTCACCCCTGTGCACCATCGCCACAGTCCCCTGTGCTCCTCCCTCTCTCCCTCCGATCAATTAATCTTTTATTTTTTTTATTTTTCTAAAACAAACTATATTTCATATTATTGATAATTAAATTCCCATAAATTATATATATATATATATATATAGGTAATGCAAATGAACTTCTATGGAATAACTGCTTGATTAAATTGCAGTTGGTTTGCAAAGTATGTATTTATGTTCAAATGCTACCTTTTCCCTCCTTTTTAAAATTGAGTTTAAATTAGATATTTTATTTTATGTTATACAAATTAATGGCAAGCCAATTTCATAGAATGTATAAATATTTCTAAAATTAACACAGTTACTTTTTAAAGAGTGAGTAAAGCCATAAAATACAATGGACTCTTTATTCGCATGCTATTTTATGTACACATTTATAGAAATATATGTCAATTGTGTTTCTATATTGCAAGTACCTTTTGCCAGACTAGTAAAAAATCACTAGTTTTTTAATAAAGAATAGAAATGAAATGATTTTTATATTCTATTCCTAAGTTGTGAAATGCGACAGTGATTTTTTTTAATTTTTATTTTAGATAATTGCATTTATTCAGCCTCTTTTTACAGAAATGTGAGCCTATCCAGTAATATTCAAAAAAGAAACTAATCAGCCTTATGGAGAGAGATAGCTTCTAATTCTCCACTTTTCATATTGACATTAATTTGGTTTTAATTTGGTGTAGTTCTTCCATTATCAAGCCACAGAGGCTTGCATTTTTCTTTCTTTTAACTTGTGAGGGAATTGTAAATAAGTTTGCATGGTAAATGGGAAAGTCACAAGTTGTATACAGCAAGAAAATGTTCAACTCTGGTAAAACTCCATCCTGTGTGCTGTAGGGTGACTATATACATGTTTGTTTTATTGTTTTTAATTTGCATATCTTCCGTCTGTCATTAAATTAGATGCAGCATCTTAATAATTTCTCTTGAAACTCAATGCCCAGATTTTGCTGTGTGAGGAAGTTTCTGAATAAGACATCAAGTTTCTAGCCATCAGAGGATAATTTATTGATACTTGTCAAAAGGAAGTATCAGTCTAACAGAAATCAAGACAAAAGGAATGCCTGATGAATTTTCTTTGAAGTGCCTTTTATAAAAGTCCTTGGTAATACATATTGATGAACTCCAAATTGTCTTGCCTGAAGGGAAAAGAAAGTAGACTGCTTTACACTGTCTTATAAATATTCATCAAAAGAACAAGACTTATGTTTCCAGGCGTGAGGTGAATGATTACGGTTGTATGATTGCCTTGGAATCTGGATAATTAGTAAAACAGCCGTTGACAGTTAGAGAATTTTAAACTTGGTATCTTGCCGTCACTTCATTTGGAGTCAGAGATAAAGCTTCATATACCAAAGGGAAGCAGTATCAGGGGGTGATGGATTGATACTATCAAGTTGTAGCTATCAATTGCTTCCATTGTTGGCTTATTTATTGGTTTAGCTGAAAATTAAAACAAAAATAATTGGTTTTGTTGTGTTCCATTTTTGTGTTATTTATTACTTGGTGATTCATTTTGTTCTAATGCAACAGTACCATTCTTGCTAAGGATGATTTGCTGGATGTGTGTCTTAATTAAAACCCTAAGAATGTAGAGTGATAAAATGACACCCTCCAAATGTCCAGAGAGAGTAGTTGTGTGTGTGTGTGTGTGTGTGTGTGTGTGTGATATTATTATCACTTTCCTTACCAACACCTACTTTGGGCTGAGTAATTAACCCTGTGTTTCTTTTGATTTTTTTGGTTCTTATAATTAAAGATCAAATTTGATCAAATGAATATGGATTATTTGATGTTTTGTAAGATAAACATGGTTTACATCAACAATTAGAAAATATTGATCATTTTCCACTGGTTGTGAATTTCTCTTGATCCTAGTTTCATAAATTATGCTGTAACCAGTCAAAAGGAAAATATTCAATTCTCAGAAAATTAAACCTTTTACCATGTTTAGTACTTAAATGTAATTAAATAAATATAATACCTTCTTTGAAGCCTATTTGTTCAGCTAAAGTAACAGAAACTACTCACATGTATTGAATGGAGGACATGTTCAGCAAATGTTTGAAGAGAGCTTTCTTCATCATGATCAGAAATAGGCATCTACATTCCTATTACAGTCAGAAGAAATTCAACATTCTATCTCTACCACTCTATTGCTATATATGGGACCCAAAAGTAAGAAGCGCAATGTGTCCAAGAATGGAAAGAGATACCGAGAATCAGAAAAAAGAAAGTAAAACAAAAATAATAAGAAAGAGAGATTAAATAAATTATTCACTTAGGAAATGTTTAGGTATTTTCTCAAAGCTGTCTATTCCTTTTTAGTAAGGAAGATTTTACTGTTTCAAAGACTTTGGCCAGAAATACACAGAGATTTTGGATTATCCTGCAGTATTGAGTTATGATAAATGTGGGCATGACAGAGATGGTGATGAAGGCTTTGGTGTTCTTGAAAAGGTAATTGGATAGTTTGGTAAGTAAATTTTTTCAAAAGCAGAGGAATCATATTGCACTTATTCTTTTCTTTTTTTCAATCTTGCACTTTGTTTAATGTGCTGTATAATTTATCTCATTCAGAATCTATGAAAAATAGTTTGGAAAAAACACTCTCATCACACATATGGTGTCAGCAGTCTGGAACACTTAAATCGATCATACAGAACACCTAGATGGATTCAATATGAAACAGAAACAAACCAAGAACAGCCTGTGAACTCAAGTGTCAGTATCTCTGAGGAAATCTATTATTTTTCTTTTATTTCTGAGAAACCACCACTGAGAGACTTACCAACTATCTATGATATCATTTTTCGACCATTTTTCTAACTCTCCAAGGAATGAATCTCCACTTAAAATATAACTGGAAGATAGCAGGAAACAGAGCAGGGAAGAAAAAGAGAACTCTGTGTAAAATATTTAAAACTTTGTTTTATTTGCCACATTAACCCAAAACTATGTAATGTCACACAGTACCTCACGATATGCAACCAATGATGCATAAAAGTATTGTAGTTGAAATATTTCAATGTCTAAAAATAATAGTCACAATAAATATTGGAAAAATATGGAGGAACACAACATTCACCAAACTATAATCCTGGCCAGATTTCTATTAGAGCACTGTGACTGCTCAGAGTATGTCTTAAGCGAGACAGCATTTATGGTTGTCACTAGGAGGACCTATGATGCAAGGAAAATGACTAGGGTCATTTAACTTTATAGAAGTTTCCCTAGTGATTACAATGACTTATTTTATGCTGAGTGGTTCATTGAAGAAAATAATGAGCTTTTATTGTATTCAGTGATGGTAGTGGTGGGAGGGTTCAGATGAGGACTGCTTTCACAAAAGGCAAGATACAGATTTTTACTCCTTCCTTCCCACCCTCCCCAGTCAATAAATTGATTTCCATAAATACAAATAGCAATACAGTAAGTTGTCATTTGTTTATTAGAAAAGACATGAATGATAAAAACAACAATCTGACATGGCTGTAGCTTACCAGTACTTGTGTTTCTTACTGGGAGTGAAAATTGATTGGAATTTTGCAGTAAGTATAAAAATCTTTAAGTGGAAAACAAAGCATATTCTTTGACCAAAAGAACCGACTACTAGACATGTATGAAAATAATGCTAATAGGAAATCTATCAGAGTACACAGGTAATAATATTCATACAGAAGTACTTAAACAGAAAAAAATTAGAAATAAGTAAAATGATTAATTGTGGGAAACTTGTTAAATACATTATGTTAGATCCATATAAATATATTTGTACTTAGCCATTTTCATTTATAGGAAAAATTATATATTAACTGCAAAGAGGATATTTATTATATGTGTATGACTGTATTTATCATTCAATTTTCTACTAATATAGATGATGTCATAAGCTGATTGTGTTCCCCAACATATGTTTATTGAAGTTCTTTGTCCCACTACCTCAGAATATGACTGTATCTGAAATTAGGGCCTTTGCAGGGGTAATTAAAGTAAAATGAACTTGATTAAATGGGCTCTAATCCATTTTTCTTATGGAAGAAGACAGAGAGAAGAGGGCCTTGGCAACTCTAGGGGAGAGCCTTAGAAGAAACCAATGAGGGGCCTCTCTGGTGGCGCAGCAGTTGAGCTCTATGTTGCGAAGCTACCCGCAGCCTCTGCAGCGCTGGTTCGATCCCCGGCTGCTCCCCGGCCACCGAAGGAGAGTCCCACATGGCGCGCAGACCTCTCCTGTCGCCTGCTGCTCCCCTCAGCAGTGTACTTCGGTCCTTCTGCCTGTTCTGCTACTTGCTCTGACTCTGGTGAATTCTCTCACCCTCCCGCGCT